ACTGGACGATCGATATCGCGTTTAACCGTGGCCAGAAGACTGCACGGTGGTTTTCTGTTTGCACGACGCCCTGTACGGCGTGTACCTCTAACGCCTGCCCATCGGAGAAGGCGTTCTCTGTGGTGCCGGGAACATCGGAATTCGAGAGACAATGAATGGGGACGAGTACTCTTTACAGATGAGAGCAGATTCAGTCTGAGTAGCGATTCTCATCTCATACTCATCTGGAGAGAGCGGGAAGCCGCAATCATCCCTCGAACATCATTGAAAGGGACAGGTATGGAGGAGGCGGTGTTCTCGTTTGGGGAGGCATCATGCTTGGTAGTCGTACAGACCTTCACATCTTCGACGCAGGTTCAGTCAACGGGACCCGTTATTGTAACGAGATTCTTCTTCCATATGTGCGTCTTTTTAGAGGCGCTATGGGTCCGCAGTTCCTTTTCATGGACGACAATGCACCATGTCATCGCACAGTAGCTGCCGAACAGCTGTTAGAGAGTGAGGATATTGAACGTATGGATTGGCCTGCACGATCTCCGTATCTCAATCCCATCGAGCATGTATGGAATGTTCTAGGCAGACGCTTGGCAGCTCGTACCTTACCACCAGTAACGATTCCGGAGCTTCGATTGGCGCTGCAAGACGAATAGGCAGCAATGCCTCAACAACTCATTGACACCCCCTCAATTCTCAGCATGGGCAGACGCTGTGAAACCTGTCTAGCAGTCAGGGGAGATCATATCCCCTATTAAAGACCGGATGTTTCTTGCTGGACACCCATCACAGGGATGTTTCGGCCTTCAGTCGCATTGCGCTCCATGCTACTTTTTCAATAAAGCTTCTTTTTATCCTTTTTTATTACTAAAAGATTTCTCTTTTAGTAAGTGTTGCTTACATTACTCATATCCTTACGTATTGGGGATCTTACGGTGTTAAATGTGTTGATTTGGAAAGCTTTTGCACAAAGTTATATTGAAAAAACCGTCTCGTCCTTAATTTTTGCACACCAGTGTATTTAACAAGAACGTAACGTGATGTGGGCATTTTCACATAGCTTACGTATTAATAGGACGAACACTTTATTATAACACGAACAAAAACAAATATAGTTTACATAAAGTTAGTAACATAATATATCACTGGCATGCAACGTGTAACATCCATTATCGTGACATTGTCTTCTATCATCTATAATCTCGACTCTGTGTCGCTTGAGAGAGACGAAAACGCCCACTTTTCGGCTTAACTGCGCATGCGTGGTGTTCATCAAATCATCACACCATAATTAAATTCAATCGCTTTAACTTGCATGAAAATAATTTGATGTGTTCTTATTGTATTCTGAAATGGTATTTATTTGTGTACGACGTAACTACATATTTTTGAGTTAACAAACACAATTTAATAAGTTTTTAAACTTATGAGGTTTCCTCTACTTTATATAACCAGTTATTTTATGTTTTGAAACTTTACTGTCATTTCTCTTTTTCCGTTTTTCCATAAGAGTTCAAAAACGTCTACCAAAAGGTTATTCGTAGTGTCCATTAGCGGAAGACATAAAACCTTATAAACTGCTTCTGATGAAGCTTTGTAATACTTGTCTAAAAACAATCTAAACACAATGAAATCATTAAGATCATTATACTATAAAGAAAATATTATTGGATCATTTATATGCGGTTTAATGTTAAAATCAATGAGCCCGATGAATTGAATATTTTACTAGGTAAAACTATACATCATAAATAACCGTGAATTATCTTGTGATTCACACTGAAAATTTTACTAGATGCCATGTTGTTTTTTACAATTTATGAACATTTGAGCGAAATCAGAGGCTAGCTATTTTTAAGTAGCTCATATAGCATAATAAATCGCAGTTCATCGCAAAATGATTTTAAGCTATGGATGGATTATAAATAATTTATTTATTTTCCAATTAACTAAAACTGGAGAACATCATCAGTTTTATTGTTTACAAAGTCATGAACCGATTGTAAACAATTTTAAAGAAAATGTGTGATTCTTTTCTTCAATATTTCAAGCTCAACTAGTTATATAGAACTTCCCATTAATATTTTTAAAGACTAAAAATTAATTTTAAATATCTCATATAAAGAGCCTCGTGATTCAAACTGTTCTAAGTAGGGGACATCTTCTTTTCCTTTTTAATAATTCTTATTTTTAACATGCTTTTATAATTTTGTCAGGAGAAAAAAGATTTAGAAAATTTATACTCAATTTGCTATAATTTATGCATAAATATTCGAGTTCTAAAGTCTGTTGCATGCGATTCTTATTATGAAATATATAATAGAATATTTTTTTGATTTTCTTTTGCCTGCTAATATTGACAAACCTCGAGAAAATTTGAGCTCTTGGAGAAAGATTGATTAACATTGATATATTCTTATGAAGTCAAATACTAAGTGTTAAATGAATTGTCGGCATCTCAAATCTGATAAATGCAGCCGTTTTCAACCAGGAACTGAAAAAGAAATTAGAAAACTTCTTCGTAAATGAAAAACTTCTAACGATGTCATTTAACAGAAGTGTACTTCGATTATAAGTGGTAATGTGAATTACATCTCTTTATCCAGCAAATATAAAGCTTTGTGAATGAAATTTGTTTGATTTAGCAAAACAGCTAATGCATTTAGTAAAGATAATATCGCCTAAGAAAAATACATTCTGAAACATCTGGTTAACTATGCGCTTCGGTAAGAACACAGGTAAGATATGTGAATTAATTTTCTCAATGTGTGATCCATTTCAATGTATTCTGTGTCAAACGCAAGTGGCTTAAAGTTGAAAACTGTTTCATTTATAACATAAGATTTGGGAGAGTCTATTCACCTTTATTTTCTCACATAAATGTGGCACATTATTAACCAGTTTCAGGTACGTCTCGACAGTAGTGATCTTTTACGAAACTACTGCTAGAAATAAGAGTGAAGATTTTCGTTATCTTTAACTTCATATTCATTGTTTTATCTCATATTATAAGTATTCAGTGTAATTAATACTACAATCACGAGAAGACTATTCTAACAATTCTACTTCCACGAAATCATTCTTCTGTTAATAGTGCTGAATTACAAGGTGTAATACTAATGTGTTATAGATAAGACTGCATTGATCCATAACGTTGATGTAACGTAGAAGTTTAACTCTTGTGATATAATAATAGAAAAAAAGTTTTCCTGTTCACAACAAATAACTATATGCAAAAGTGCTCATGTCCGCTTAACTAAATAATTGACACAATCCTGCCCAATAGAAAATGTTAGAATATTTCTTGCCGCATCCAAAACAGCTCATGACACTGAAAATATATAAAGTGTGATTCTTCATTTCCTAATTCAAGCAATGGAATGTTCCGGTTTTCTACAGTCTGACAATGTACGGTGATAAACAATTCAAAAAGATATTTTAGATTCACTATATTCAATTTTGATTTGTCTGAAGCAGCCTTTCCTCAGGTTAACATAAGTAGTCTTAGCGGGTAACGTAAGTTACCATAAACATATTTTAAATAGCAGTTTTAAGACAGGCAGATGAAAAAGAGGGAATGTTTAACATTTCTTACCAGAGATTTTTCTTCTTAAGCTCTGCCTTTAATCCTAAATACTATTTTTACTCCTGTAATCATATCCTAATGCTTCCTCTGCTCAGCATGCCTCTTAAAATCCGTTTTCGTATGCCTAACTTAGCTTGCAACATTCTGTGTAGAAATGCTACTCAAATTCTGTTCCTAGTCTATCCCAGAATGCAAGAGTTTCGAGCTGTGCAAAAAATAGAAGCTTACAACAAACACATAAAGCCAGTGTTGTTTTCTCTTATTAGAACAGTTTTTGATGAATCATGGTGTAGAAGTTCTGCTTGTCAGTTATATTGTTATAGATATTTGTTTATAATTATTATTTAGCCTATTGTAATTGATTAATCTGTACGGTTATTATTTAAATTAACTAGTTATTATGATTTCGTCTTTGCTGTAACTTCTCCTTTCCGTATTCCTCCCCAGAATGCAAATGTGTAGACAGTATTTAAACGGAGATTTTTGGATTTTAACAGACACAGCGAGATTTTGACTTCGCGTACACGCTACTTGTTAGTTTCCTGCCAACTCTGATAGTTGTAATTATTCGGTTTTGCATGCTACCGCTGTCGTCACCTTTTGGTTTTGACGCTGTCTAGTTATTGAGACAGCTTACAGTAATATTTAATTGTATAGTCTTTGACTGTTGTTTCAAATTTGTCTATTTAGTTGCATCACCATGAGCTGTGGCTGATATTGAACACAATAGAGTGCGTTTATGTTCTAAATTTTGTTTAAATAAAAAACTATATTTAATCCTTCGCATGAATTTATAGTTACTTCAGACTTAGTGACTATTCGTTTCACTTTTGTTAGGGTTATTAGACTAATTAACATTACCAGATCAAGTAAAACCTACAAATTATTAATCATTGACAGTATTTATTAACTATATTTTCATTATTATATCATTTCTTCTTTTATTCTCTCCCACTTTTTTTCTTAAGAGCAACATTTTGCAACTGAACTAAGACATCAAAAAGTTACGGAAATATCCATGTAAAGAAAATAAATGAATTTTTGCACGTAGTTTTTTTTATTATTTATTTTAATTTTATTTTTGTTTATTTATCTGTTATTTTATCAAAAAATGATTCAATAAGTTAACAATAATTGACATAATTTTCCAAATTCCAAGTATCCAATAGAATTAAAGCAAATCCATTATATATATATATATATATAATGGAAGAAAGGAGAACAAACTAAAAAAGACCTATGAGGTCAAGAATTTTGCGCATTGAGCTGCAAAATTTGAAAACACGGTAAAAAGGAAATTGTTAAGTATTTCATACTTCTTGTATTTTAAATTTTTGTAATTGCAATTTGAATTAGCAAATTATTACTGCTTCCAGTAAATGTTTGGTTTGCTTCTTACAATAAACAAAATCTGACACAGTTACAGTTACGAAAACTTTTATTTTTCTCTATATTATAGAGTTTATAACGATAAAACACTGGATTCCTCTCACTCGAGGATCCATTCCCAGGGCGTTTTCCGACACCTCATCGCGCCCAGGGGGGACTTCGTCCAGGGGAGCTCCGGACAGCCACAGAACCAGCTCGGCCGCTCGCTGCTCCCCTCACCCCTTCCCCCTCTTTCTCGCGTTTAAAATAACAGACAGTTCGACAGCCTTTAACATTGATTGACAAGACAGTTCGAGGACTTGGACGTCATAAATAGAGGACATTTTTAGGAGACTTCCCTCCTCTACGCAGCATTCCGGGTTCGAGGATGGAGCTCCTACGAGTAGTGGGGATGCGGACCCCATTCACTCCTTCGCCGCTGGGGCTGCTTCCGCTGACTTTGGGGCTTCTTCGGATACTGGTGCCTTCTCTTCGACTACGGGTGCTTCTGGTTCTTTTTTCTCTATCGATACCACTTCAGGGGCAACAGATGAAGGTTGTGGAGATGAAGCTTCAGAAACTGAAACTGTGGAGAGAAAAGATACAATTACTTAAATGACACGTCATTTTAAACAGGCAGATTTCAGCAAATTAACTTAATGTGCATCAGTTTGTTATTAATACTTTTGTACATACAGCGCGTGTTATGCAGACTTCATATTTTATTCAGTATTCATCATATTTTTATTGTATAAGTTTGGTATGCTTAATTAAACTTTAGTTAACGGCAGTGATTCCTAATTTTCTATCCGTCATTTTCTCGTGAATGCAGAGCACTCAAATATAAACAAATATGAAACACATGAAAAATTAGAAACTTGCGGTGATTTGCTAAAAAGAGCAGCAAATAAATTAAGATATGTGTTGTTGTCTCTTCCCCGCGCCTGAGATTCAGTATCAAATAATTTGGGAGTCCTGTTACAGGGGGCAGGTTGTAAGGAACAAACTAAGGAAAACCGTAATTAAAGCAGAATTTTCAAGAAATCCTCATATTTTATCTTCTTCATTAAAATTAATTTAAGCTAATGCTTATTTTTATCGAGAAAATCTAAAAAAGGAGCGATTAAAATAATAAATATGGAAATTTGAGTGTTTCCTAAGAAAATTTCTTGATATTGCTTTTTGAACTATTTGAATTTACACATGTCTCTCAGCCTTTTAAAAGGAGTATGCTCTTCAACGCAGACAAAAATGTAATGTAATAAAAACGTTGATTAGAAGTCACTCTCGTCACTAAGCATGTTGTTCGTTATGAGACAGCTTCTGCTAAATGAGCGTGCACTAGTCTCCTTCTTCGAAGGTCCGGTTTTCTAGGAACATTGGCAATGTCAGCCAAAGTAGTATACCCATTAAAAGGAGGTTGCTCTGCATAAATGGTTTTAAATATTCACACGTGTTGATATAAATACTAATTTCATATTTGTGGAATGAATTCAAAATTTTTAAATGGGAACTAGATTACACAAATTCCGAATGAAAATGACATTAATTAATATATGTAAGATAAGTTCACTATCTAACTGAAAATCTTGTCTCATAAATTCACCTTCGGCCTTTCCCCTCCCCTTCTGTTCATTAAGAAACATCCCTCCATTTCTATTTTAGGTACTAATTACAGCCAGCAAGCTATGTTAACTTTAAATCGATTACATAATTTTTAATTAGGTTTAGTTAATATTGAAAATAGTAAGAAATAACTTCTCTATTTTTTTATGAAAGCTAAAAAACTATTAAATTTTCTCTTTAGTAATATTCAGGATTCAAATTTAAAGAAAAATACAGCAATTTAACATTGAATTTTCTTCTACTGCTGGCAAATATCATTGATAACGATGGTTGTTCACCAAATTCTAAGATTCAAATATTTTAAGAATCTTCAGCTTTGATCATTCAGTATCATTAAAAACAATTTCAGATTTTTTAAACACTTTTAGCAATTATATTAGGTCATACTTTTTATTTTTGTTTGGTATTTGGTTCACAGTAAAGGATCATGAATTCCGCAAAAGAATACTGACATTTAAAAATTCCTGAAACTCTTACTCTGTATAAAAAGTGTAGTGCTTTATATTTTAGGCCTTCATCCCCCATCATATATTTCCCAATTTTTTTTGAATCATTTCCTCTTTCTTTTTTTTTTCAAAGTTAATTGTAAGAAATTATCTCTCTTTCTAAAACGATTTCTTATAATATAAGTACATCCATCTGGAAGCTGGAGTTCTCCTAGCTGAGGTCAAATCCTGTTGATTGAGCAGCTGATTTTTCAAGTCTCCGCAGTCATCCTTCTACTGTTTGGAAAACAGCGTGAAAAAAAAAAAAAAAAAACTGCCACAGTCTCTTATGTACGGATTTCAAGCGCAAGTGATGAGTAGATATAGCAATTGGAAAACTCGTAGTTTAAATCTCAGCGAAGACGTGATTGATTGCTAACGTTTTCTGTTCCGAAAAACACATGATAAATGTTATGTAAATAAAACCCATCATGGGTAAACACGTGATAGGTACCACTTTGTGATAGCCTCTTTTCGGAAGGATATTTATAGATGGTTTAGTTTGGTTTTATTTCATTACAATACAAGGTATTTCTCCTGCCTTCTTAACATGCCTTCGTGGTGTAGTGGTCAGCACGCTCGACGTGAATTCGAGATGTCCGTGGTTCGAGTCCCGCCGAGGGCATTTCTCATTTTTCAGTATTCCAGCTTCGAAATAACCTAATGTCTCTCAAGGGTAAAGCACGCAAGGGCTATCTCCCGAAGAGAAGAAATGCTTTCGGAGAAGACCTTCAAGGAGAAACTTGCTTGTGTGCAAGTTACACACGGGGAAAATCACGAAACGTAACCATGCAGCTTGCCCATTCGCCTGGAATCGAACTTTAGCTAACAGTGCTTAGCGACTCTACCTCTCTGCCACTGGCGGGCACAATATTACATATGGAGAAGTTGAAGATTCTTTAAAGGTTTATTTTAAGTGAAAATATAATTAAATTCCTACGACTTGCGATAGTTATAACATTAAGATTATAAGGTATTTCTCCCACTTTCCTAGCGTCCTTCGTGGTGTAGTGGTTCTGCACACTGAGCCGGTATTTCAGAGGTCCGTGGTTCGATTCCCGGCGAAGGCGTTTGCTAATTTTTCATCTTGCTGGCCTCTAAAAAAATCCTAATGACTCTACAAGATTAACATATCTTATGATATAGCTGCTTTAATGTTGCACAAGATCCATGTCATACAACTGTATTTTATACGGTTTAATAATGCACAGCTAATATACAAACAAATATACAAGCAGTATAAGCAAACTAAAAAAAAACCCTTTACAAAAAGTGAAGTAATACATTTCAGTTCTACTTTTTAAGCGTAGGTTTAAAAATTTTGATTTGAATCCATTAATATAATATGATATACTCATACTGAGCTGCGTGAAACTCAGCTAACTTCCCATGCAGCTTCAGTACTTCAAAAAACAGTAAATCTGATGAATCATAATCTCTTTTTGTTCACTGAGAACTGAGAGCGTATTATACATTGAGTATACTTCCCATCGGGGCTAAATTTATGGCTTGCTATAACCCCTAGTTTTAATTCCAAATTTTAAATAATTAACCATTATTAAATATCGTAAGTTAAAAATGCAGCGCTAAGTCAGAGCGATCAAATGCTTTGTTTTGAAGCATGAATAGCAGATAAAATAAATTAGAATTTCATTTAACTGTTACTTGTTCTGCCTTCAGTATATATATTCTGTATCAGCTAAAACAAATCCAAAGATTAAAGATAACTTTTAGCTATGAAATTAATAAAAGCATTGGAAAATTTCACTGGAGCAAAACACACAGTTTGACAGTCACGAAAGAAAAACAATTAGAAGAATGAATGTATGAATAAATATATTTGCTGTAAAGAAGCAGACTAAAACGTAAAAGGAAATGGAATAGAATTTGGAGCTTACTAAATTTATTGTATCTTCAATAAAATATGACAACGTCCTCTAAAGTATTCCAAGAACGTTATAAAAACTTTTTTAAGTACCCCTTTTATGAATAAATTACACAAATTGGTATACGTACTTAATGTTATGAGATTTTATAACTGCTTTGGAAGATCTTCAATAATTAGATGAAAATACTGACACCAAGATATAGGTTACTGAACCCTTGTGATAGCTTACAGGTCACCTATATCTGGGCGAGGCAAAGTTTAACGTGCTAAAGATGCTGCTAGGTTGGGTTAATGATGCTGAAGAGGAAAGTGCTTGTTTTCAGGTTAATTCAGTTTAGGCTCATAAAGCTGAATTCTTGGTAGGTGCATTAGTGTGAAACAGATTTCAATGCACTATCTATTGATATGCATTTTTTTATGTTTTTGTCTTACTCAGTCGAACGCCTGGGAAGTACTGGTTAGAATCTGTATCTAGGCAGTCTCAACCACGGGGGGTATATAATTTGGTTTCAAAGGACTAGAACCTGAGTATTGTACTCAGGTAGGTTCAGGCTTGGCAGGGACCGTACTGGTACTGTCGTGTCTGTTCCTTCGGGCTGCGGTGGAGCTAGATCGGAGATCGTCAACCGAATCCCCGGGGGTTTGACCCCATTCAGTTCTCGTGGCGGGGACTGACAGAGTGGACAGAGCACGCACAACAACATACATTTTGCCAATGGAGTAGTGCCCGGAGGCAAAGTGACAAAGTTCTTTACATATCAACGATTCGTTCTGCTCAATGCTTTGTATAAAGCCGGGCGGGTCTGCGGGGTTTGCGCCCGCGAGGATGAGGTCTCTTGGACTGTAGATATCTAAACTCTGTATGGGCCCGCTAGTCGGACCTGAACCGAAGATCTATGTCGTGTAATGTGTCTGTCTCACATAACGCGTTTTACTTTGCATTTTAACCTGCAATACTCGGAAAAGTGTACTTTAGTTATTTGTTTTTTAAAATTTAGATTTGTGTGGAGATTTAATCTTTATCATGTGAGACCACTTCAACATACTATTTGCGAAGCAGCTGATTATTTTACAAACCATATGATCAAGCAATCTCAGCAAGGAATCAATTAAGTTGAATTCATAATATAAAAAAAGGGCTACACTTACCTTCGTCAGCTTTATGTTCTTCTACCTTTGCTTCCTCGGGTTTCGGTTCTTCAGCTTTCAATTCTTCTTTTGGAGATTCGGACTTTGGTTCCTCAGGTTTTGGTTCTTCGACTTTTGGTTCTTCGACTTTTGGTACTTCAGAAGATACCTTTACTTCTTCGTCATCAGCGCTACGTCCTGCCACCTCAATGTGCTCTCCGATTTCTTGCTGTTCTTGGTTAGATTCCAAAGCTTGCTTCTCAAGTTCTGGTTCTTCAGCTTTAACTTCCTCCTTCTGGACTTCAGCCTGTATTAAGAAATTGATCAACAAAGATGAGACAGATGCAGTGGCCAAATGTCTAAGATATAACAGTTTAGACATTTTGTTGCACACACACAAAGGGAAGATTCTTCGTTTCACGAAATTTTTAAAATGAAAAGGAATGCCTTAAATCCTTGAAAGATCCCCAATGCATGCGGATTACTTGGCAGAACACATTCATCGATGACGTTTTTACATCGTTTAAAAATATCTGAGAAGGTAAAGTTTTACTTTCAGTTTGACACTGGTCTGTTTTTCTTGTTCTCATTTTTAAGACGTCACATACCTCATTTCAGAAGTGTGCAACTAAACGGAATATGAACAAAGAGATACAGCGCAATTAGAGAGATAAAGTGTTAAAAAAATTTGCAGTTATTGCTTATACCACGTGCCTTATACTTCGCGCGTTCGCTTTACGTCTTATGCCAGCTCTTCGTACATTGTGACTGACTAGTTATTAGTTTAGCTTCAAGGTGAAATTAAACTAAAACGCTTATTGAACGTTGATCGGTGTCTGAATTAACCTATTATTTAAATTAACAAAATTAACCAATTATTTAAATTAACATGGCGAAGGTTAATTTAAATAACAGTTCTTGAGTTAGCGATTTATTAATTTAGTATGAAGAAATCAGTGGTTGCTAAATTTATATATATATTTGTCTTTCAATAAGCAACAGATACATTTAATGAAAATCATTTTTCTTAAATATAGATTATTAACTCTTAATAAGTGCTTTAATTATGTGCTTTAATTTTATGACTTAATTATTCATTCTGGTAACAGCGAGTTTTAAATTCCATGTTGTTGAAAAATACAGCTTATGCAGTGAAGATGTGATATAGTTATTTTCTTCTATAAATTGAAACTTTACTTTTAAAAATGCTTTATAGTGCTTCACAAACAATAATTTGTAATAATTCAACCTATTGTGATTTGTTTGTATCAAAACAAAACTCGCAGTTTGCACAAAATGAGAGTGATCATTTGATATGCAGTTGAAAGGAAATAAAAATATACTATTAGACTCGCAGATACATTTCTGCGATTCAGTGTTTCACCAAAGGGAAAAGAATGATTTTTGAATTTACTACAGGCAGCTATTATTCTTTGAAAATAACATGTGGGCCTATAAAAATGGGGCTTCTCTTTTACGTATGCCATTTTTAATAATTATCACTAAGGTAAATAAGTTCTATTGTTTAATTTACAGTGAAACAAACTTATACATAAAATATTTTAATATATTTATGATATAAAATCTTAAATAAAAAAACTATTCGTTCGCTGAAAATGCAGTCTTCAAAAATTACAATATGGATTAACTAATTAAAAAAAATTCATGACTTTTATTTTTATCTTTTTATCGTTTTTAAATCTACTTTTTATGGAACAGAACCATTTTCGAATAAATTAATATTCAAATCAACTGGAAAATGTACGATGTTACTTTCTAAATGCATCTTGTTTCTCAAATTACAGGTACATTGTGTAAAAAGCAGTCCAGTCTTTCTTCTTCATTATTTTTCTCCATTAATTAAGAAAAAAATAGGAAAATAAAAGAGAAAATATTTAAAATCTTCTGTTTTTTTTTCTTATAAGTAACTTCTATTTTTTCTAGCCTGTCTTTTTGATTTTGATCGCGTATGTAATTTAACAGATTTTTTTTTTTTTTTTTTTTTTTTTTTTTTTTTTTTTTTTGTATTCGCTAAACATGTATTTAGGTTTTTATCTCTGTGTCTCTTCAAGCATTCACTAAAAGAAGTTACTCTTTTTATTGCATAAAAAAACACTTTGTAACGATCAGTTTAAAATTTTTACACAGGTAAAAATCTTCGAAGGTTTCTTAAGCCGAAGACATCCTATGTTTTTAAACATTTCTTTTTTAAAATATTGCTTGTACATAAGCCATGCAAAGTGTAACCACATGCAAAGGGTAACCAGATAACATGAACTTTTGTTTTAAACTTAAAGACTAGTATCATTATTTTGTAAAATAAATACTATAATTCTAACTACGATCATTTTTAATGAGGATGCTAGTCAAATCCACGAGTGTCATTCTTAATTATTATAAAAATTAGTATTAATTTTCACCTGTTCTTCTTTTGGTTTCTCCTGTTCCTTCTGAACTTCATCTTGAACAACATCTCTTACAGAGTCTTCTTTTTGTGCTTGTTCTTGTGCTTTTACTTCAACCTGAGGTTCTTGGCTCTGTTGCTGTTCTTTGTCTTGCTCTTGTTGCTCAGATTTTACTTGCTCTTGCTGCTGGGATTGTACTTCCTGCTGCTGTTGTTGTTCCTTCTCTTCAACTTTCTTTACTTCCTGTTCTTCTTGAACTTCTTCACGAGCTGATGCTTCTTCTTTCACTTCCTCTGCAGGTTTTGGCTCTTCTGCTTTTACTTCCTCAACTTTCACTTTCTCTGCAGGTTTTGGCTCTTCTGCTTTTACTTCTTCAACTTTCACTTCCTCTGCAGGTTTTGATACTTCTGCTTTCACTTCCTCTGCGGGTTTTGATTCTTCTGCTTTCACTTCCTCCACAGGTTTCACTTCTTCGGCTTTTACCTCTTCTGAAATTGAACAAAAGAGAGCTTTAGTTATTTCAGACTAGAATATTTAAAAAAACAAAAGCATCCTGAAAAGAAGATTGGAAACATGGTTTTTTCCTGTATTTTCAGTCATTTACGTGTAGTGTAAGAGCTAAAATATGTGTGATTCAAAGATTTATAGCAAACATAAATTATTATAACTCATGCTAAATACTAAAGTTATGTTCCTTAAATTAAATTTTAGTATAGGTAAATATGTTTTCATTTAGTTCTTTTCAATATTTATTAACCGCATTAAAATACATTTTAACTTATATCTTTGACGCCGAATGCATTTCACAGTACAATTTAGGGTGATTTAGTTAAAAATGTTATTAAATTAAAAAATTTGGTTGCATTTCTCAAGTAAAGTCCAATTAACATAAAGTAAAATTTTAATTAAATAATTTTGGCACCGAATTTTTTAATCAAGGTTTAAGGTATTTTCTTTCTCTTTACCACGTGCCTTCGTGGCGTAATTGCAAAGCACGTTTGGCTGGCAACCGTAAAGTAAAGAGTTTGAGTCGCAGCGAAGGAACTGCGGTTTTTTAATGTTCCTGAATTCAAAAATTCTATTGACCTCTGCAAAGTTACCAACACGACCTAACATTTACATTATTTACAGGATATAACTAAATAAAATTAGTATTCTACATCAGAAGAAACAGTCCATGAAAACATCATCAATCTTTGATCGAATACATCCCCATATTCAAAACACACCCCAATGAACGACAATTATCATAATTGTATTTAAAGTACCAATATTATTAAAAATTGATTGTTTTTGTTTTTTTCCTTTTCAATATTATTAAGTATTATGTATTTATTCGTTTGAATTTGTAAATATATTTTTAAAAATCTATTACCCCTCTGTTGAATTCTAAAACAGATTATGAATTATTTGTGTATTTAGATAGTGGGAGTGGAGTCAGTAAAAGGAAAAATACATGGAATAGTTATCCAATTATTTCATTTTTAATGTTTCTCTTATTTCAGTACATGGAGATGTAATAAGAGAACAGAATTTGAAAGTTTCAATTACTAATAGAGCTAATAATACAGTAATAAATTTACTTATAAAAACAGAAAACACAAAATTACCCCGAAAGATTTCATAAAATTTGCTAAATTTTCATGAAATGTTTTTTCATAGCCTACTGATAGGCTACCAATCACTATACGGAGTTGTTACAATAATTTAAAAATTTTGAGTCCGGATAATTGGAGTTGTGTTGTCCTTTCAGTCTAAGTATTTCATACTGACTTCTACGAATTCGGTGTACTTATTTTTCATAGTCCCATTTTTGGTTTATTTCTGTTCACCTTTCAGTTTTTAAAAAATATTTTATTACATATAGATTTTAAATCTTAAGACAAATGGTTTATCATTAAATAAAAAAATTAAACCTGAACATAACATGAAATCCTATATTGAGAACGGGGGACAAAATTTCATCTAAATAAAAGTCTTAATTGCAGTAATAAAGAAATCTTCTAAGTAATGTTTAACGATCATTCGATTATCGCTTATTAAAATCTATACTTTATCATTATTCGTATAAATTTCAATGAAGCAAAATTAAGCTAAATTTATTTTTTTTCTAAGGGGCTATTAATTTTGAAACAGGGTTTTGTGTTTATTTCCACTATCAATGCGTGGTTTCACGTTTTATTTGAGTGTGTTGCCATATAGCAAAATGTAAGATTTTTCAAATAAATTTTATACTCTATTTAAAAGCAATAAATACAGTTCTTCTGACTCATTTAAAAGAAAATGTATTTAGATTATGGTATACCAGATTAAAAACATTAAAATACTTTTATAGACTTAAGTTTTATATTTTTTTGCTTTTTCAAATATACAAAGGATGTATAACGTTCCATGTTAGGCTAAATGTATATCCATATAATATCCGCTAAAATGTTTGGCTATTCCACCCGGGCAATCTCTTATTGCTAATCTCTACTGTTAAAATATATCAAAGGTCTTTCAAGTGACCGTTAAAAAGTCAGTACTTTCCAGTATTTTATTTTCTATTTACTTATTTATTTAGTTAGTCAAGATAAGACAATTCCAGAATTTATACAAAAATGTCCATCCGTTATCAAATGCAAAACAGTTTTTATAAACTAAACCAGAAAAACGTTTAGAAATGATTAATGTAAATCCTTATAAAGACATTTTAAATTAAGAAATGATGATATGCGAACAAAAGCCACTGAAGAAAACTTATTCTTCCATGCGAATAAAATACGTCCTATTTTGGCAAAATTCCTGGGGCAGAAATAATCTGAAATTATAGTCTTTTAACCCAAAGTAAACATTTTTCATTTCTGAATAGCACAAGCTGTCAAACATATTTAATTATTCACAATCTTTGTTATCCGTCTAAGTAGATAGGCTATCCTTTTTTAAACGTGACCCACAGATAATAAGCAATATAATTACGAAACGGAAGGGCACGAGGATAGAGAGAGAGAGAGTTAAAGGCATCATTTTCCTAGCATCATCTTCCCGTACAGTAGAAAGTTAATTTGAATAACAAATGCTTCTGGAGGTCACGAATTAGCTAAGTCGATGTCAACAAAGTAGAAACAACGCTTTCAATGGCAAAATATTACACGACGGGGCATTTGGGTCGAGGACATCTTCCGAGAATCACAGGAAGATGGAGCATTCGGTAACATTCCAGAAAACGTCTAATGATAGAGAGGGGACTTTTCCTACACCAGGTGAAAGATGTCAAGGAGACTGTTTTTTTCGTTCAGGACCCTTCAGCGCCAGGAAATATTTAATGGGACTTTACCGAGGTACATATGATACGTAATGATGTCTTGAATTCTACTAAGTATTACTCGTGGGGAAAGGGAGAAAGGAAGATGGGGCAAGAAACTCGGGTACCATCTCTGTGCTGTCTCGATCCAAATAAAAATGGCATTGAACAAAAATGTCATATTTGTGCCTAGTATAGTTGTGGCAGTTTTTAACGCTCATGAAAAATCTCAAAATGTGCATTCTTCTTAAAATTTGTTGTTACTTTAATATTAATTATATTTTAATTAAGCAGCTTCTGTGACTTAGTGTACCTGGAAGCAAGTACATCAATCCACCCAACTACCAAACGCGACCCTGCAGAAGACTCGTATTACAATAAATTCGATTCTTGACAAATGCGTAAAGCCTCAAACTCTTCTTGAGAGATTTGTGGTAAGGTAAGAGGGGCACCATGCAACATCCAGTGAGATATCTCAATCTAAGTTGGAAAGGTAAGAATGGAACAATGCAACATCCATGTGAGATATCTCAATCCAAGTTGGAAGAATATTGGGGGGATATATTCGAAGAACGATAAGCACACATCATACAATGACCTCTGACATATATCTTATAATTTGTGTAAATACCCATAGACATACTAGATTTTGTTCGAAGCTAAAAGCGGGAAAAGTTAGTGATACTCTCTCCAGGATTTGGACTCCTTATCTTTCGGTTGCTAATTGGACGTGATACTAGTTATATCACAAGAGCAGCAGAGAAGATGCTAAAGATCCGTTATATTCTCCCTCACTTAAAGGGTAACTGGCGAGTGGAAAATGAAGCCCAGTCATCAAAATACGCGTGGTGGCTCATTATTCCCCCCCAAATGTTTTTTTAATTTAGGTTCCTCTAAGAGCTATTAGGAATTGAGATATCAACTACGCTCTCGTTGAGATTCAAACTCCAGATATTCTAACTGCTAGCGGATATTCCAACAGTTCCCTGCGAGAGATGAAAATTCCTTATACCCATGATTCTTCATGCACTTGATAGATCTGGGCGCAAGATAAGCTTGAAAAATATCATAAAAATTTAATTGTAGACTCTATTACTTATATTAATATCAGTTACTTGAATCATAACATATTACTTATTGATGTTAAATTATGAAATAGAAGAATTGCAAATACGAATTTTAAAATTCTGATGCGGCCATAATTTTTAAGGGGATAGAAGCGAAAATTCTGATATACCTGATATATATTTATAAGTTATCAAAGAATTTATTTAAGATTAATTGCTAACGAAACGCAATAAGAAGGCATTTTGCATGGATATATTTATTAAAAATAAATCTCTATTGCTTAAAGCTATATTAATCGAAATAGAAATTTCAATAGTGGTTGTATACAATAGTTCTTCGGACTTAAATAAAGTAATAAGTAAATTATTATTGTTATGACTGCAGATAGTTTATTCATTTACCTCGAGTTTTAGATGCAAAATAAAGATTTTCGTTTTAAGATCGATTTAACTTGTAGGGTTTATATTTATTTTCAGTTTAAGCTATCTTTCCTGTCAAGCCTTTACTTTCCCCTAGAATTGCCAATACCAGAGTATGTAAATTAGTAGAACGCGCAGAGTATTCAAATTTTAGCAGAAGTAATTTGAGTTAAATAGAAGGGAAACGAGATTGTAGGTGTGCTTCTTGAATCACGAGCGTGAAGGTTGCTTGGTAGAAAGTTTAAGAACCGCGCGTTTCGGCTTGTGTGCCTATTTCGACAGTTCGTTGAATCTTTCAAATTCTTAATCAGAAAGTTTGCTGAATCTCAGCTGTATCTTAGAACGCGGTTAAGTTAGTTACGATTATAGAGCCTCGTAGGTAGTGACTTCGTTATTAATTCATCCTGTCATTTATTTTTAGTTGCATTTTTGTCTATTTTGTCCGCCGGATCAGCGTAGTTTTTGAGCGTCAAGTGAACGCAACTGTGATTTCTAAAGTGAAATAAAAAGGGAGTTAAACCCTTCTTAAGAGTTTTGCAATTTCCAGTTCATAGCAGTCACTACTACTGTTGCTGACAAGTTGGGGCCTCCCAACATCATAAACTGTCTGTTAAAAACATTAACCAGTTATTCAATTACAAGATTTATTTGGTTGGACTACCTGCAGACCACTCATAAAAATGCTAAAATCCTCTTCTTAATAAATTATTTCACGGACAATAAGATCTATACTCAAAAAGATTAATTCTAATTGCTATATAATAAGATCATGTTGAAAAGTATTAGTTTCCATAACGCGATAGTTACGGGTGAAGTACTAAAATTAAAAGACAAAGCAAAATTAGTAAAAAATCTCGTTTAAAGCCTTAATTAAATTTTCATGTTTTTTTTAATTAAGAATAAAATTATAGAAGTATTAAATAATTCATAGGTAAATGTGGATGATAATAACAGAATAATTCTAAGTATGATTTAACAGAAACTACATGCGAAATTTCCATTTGCTTATCAAAATACTGTTTTTAGCCTAAAAGGGGCTATTACTCTCGAAATGGGATTTTGCGTCTGTTTACTGTAGATGGCGAATCACTTTTCAAATTTTTGTCACCAAATATTATCGGCCTGTATTATTTTTAAAGAGATTAAATAATGAAGAATTTGCATGTATGTATATATGTTCCTCGCACTGTAAGAAAACGACAAGTGTCATCAAATTTTAAATAACGTAGTCCTCTCCCCGAACATATGCACACCTGAACGCCCGAATTTTACGTTTTATTATCTATTTCAAATTTGTAAAACTTTAACGAATTTTTGATTAACAAACTCAATGATGTAAAAGAGAATTGACAACACTGTAAGAAATACCAGCACGTGAGACTGCCTATCGTAAATACTAAAGATATGCTGTTTTTAAATATTTTGTGATTTTGTTGTTGAATCGAGTTTCACGTGATATTTAATAAATAAAGTAAATACAAAAAACGTTGGGCAACCTTTTTTTTTTTTTTTTTTTTTTTTCGGGACAGAAACAACTCAGTTAAATAATAGCAAACATTTTCTGTTTACATAATATGTTAACAGATCTGATTCAAATAAATTTGTTTTAGACTTACAGCTTCTGCAAACATTTCAACGACGACAAAAAAAAAAAAAAAAAAAAAAAAAAAAAAAAAAAAATATTTTTTCGAAATATAATCTTTAAGTAAAAATATGAAATTCAATTCAGTTTTTGGGCAATAATAAACGAAAGCGGATTCACATGAAAGCTGCTACTGCAAACTAAATTACTTGATCGGATTTTCAGCGATCAATAATCGCAGCGGTCTCTTTCAGATAAATACTTCTAATGAAACATTTTCGAGTCTCACATTTAAGCTGCAAAAGAGAAAAAAATTCGAAAGAATCTCAAGAGCTAATACTATTTTGTTAAACCGAGATGGCATTACGAACACCCAGAGTTCTTATCTTTTAATTTGCTTGAAGGCATATCCACCACAGAAATATCTGATTAAGTCGAAAAAGCGATTCTGGTTACAACATTTAGCTAATTCTTTTAGTACATCCATTTCTTTTTGTACGCCAGTTATACAACTATCAGTATGACGAATTGTGACAAAGTTTCAGTTTCGACATAGTAGGATTTCAGGCATGTGTTAAAAAATCTGCCTCAGAATGTTCATGCTACACTGCAACTTTCGAACTTAATGAAAAAAAAAAACCTTTCTGGTCGTATTTCTTTATTTTTAATATTTGAATATTTTGAACAGTTTCTTAAAAACGGCAGCTATTATTATTTACAGATTTACAACACCGCTGCTGTAAAATTAATTTCTCGAGTAAACATTTCATCCGCATGATGATGAAAGATAATGCATCGAATTAGATTATCGAGTAAAACAATTAATCTTTTAAAATTACAGATTATGCGACTTAGTGTCTAAATATGTAATTATAAATCACTGCATCAAACCTGCATTAAATATGTATCAGTTACGAAGTGTCAGTTTGAGAAAAGCTGAGCAAAAATTACTCAGTCAGTAACTGTTATTCTCGTAAGATTAGATATATCATTTAGTACCGAGTAAATGGAAGCAGCCCATTAAACGGTAAGGAGCAAGATAATTTTAAAAAAATATTCTTTTGATTTGCGTTTTACATGTGGATTTGAATTCTAGATATTAAGATCCGTATTATGTCTAATAATAAAGTTTATATTAAATCCTTCTTAGAAATGTATGTTATATTCATCGAATTAGATTATCATGGAAACATCTCAAGCAGAGTTAGCTAAATTTCATTAGTTTTAGCCATTTTTACATAAGTTTAGTTTAAAAAATTGAAATTGATTTCACTTTACGCAATACATTATGAACAAAATCATTTCGAAAATATTTCCTCTCTTCATTTTATTACCCTCTTTTATTTATGAAAGTGGAAATATTGTGAAACTTAATGGAATTCTGCTTGTTGTGCAATAATTTCCTAAAACCTTCGAAGAACACAAACAAAAGAGAGATTATCAGCTTTTATCATTCTTATCAGGGAAAATAAATTTTATATTTTTTGTGATGGTGAAAGATAACGATTCCAGTAATCTTTTTTCTACCTTGAGCATTTTTCTTCCTAATTTTAATAAAGAAGACCGAATATGAGAAATGTTTGTTAATCACTGCATATCAAACCTGGCATTTAATTACTAGACAATGCACAAAAAAATCAACGAAATACTCTTCACATTTGTTGAAAACGCTTTAAATATTACTCGAAAATAGATTTCAGTCGATTGAAATAGTTCCGTTGTTTTCTATTAAAACGAAAGATATCATTATAAGAGAATTAACAAAAAGAAATATAAAATTGGAAATAAATCGAAACGAGGATATAAAACACACGAACTAAAGATGTTTTAAATAAAGAAACACTAACATTCTTTGCAGCAGTTTTAGTACTCAAGCTGATTAAACCTTTGAATTTACTTTTTTTGAAAATTGTTTCTTTTTAGGCTTATTTATTTATGAAGATCATCCTTGGTACTGCGGAAAACGTCCATTGGTATATCTTTGTGTAACCTCTCTAAAACTAAACCTTAACTATGAATTGGTTTTCAGTCTCACAAAATCCAACGAACTTCAACGAGTTTTGCGCCGACAAGAAAGGCAAGCCGAATTTACAGGAGCTGAATTTATTACAAAATATTTTAGAAGATTAAAGAGCAGTACAAAATGAGTTAGGAAAGTATCAAGTTTTCGTAAATTTTTACATTCAAGTAGTAAAAGACACTTCCCAGGTATTCATGCGAAGTATTTATTTCATACGCGATGTATGAAAGATAAGTGTATTTACGGAATTTATCTTTCAGATGGTTAAAATAAATTCTTTACTTTCATAGAATAAATTGAATGTTAATTTTAAACTTTTGGAACATTTAGACAGCTGAAGCACTTTTAAAAGTAGACACTGAAATATTTCAAACATTTCTTTGGTTATTATGCAAGATCAAAATTGTCTTTTTTGATAAACATAAAATGGATTGACGAATACATATTCTTTTTAAAATCTTAAGCTTAAATAAATCATACCAATGGATATATTCACTCTCTGCTATTTTAATTATCGGATTACTATTCAAATCGAAATGAAATATAATAAATCGTCTTAATATTTTATAAAAACATCTAGAAAAGCTATAGAAAATGTACATGCTTAAATTAACACGTTTGGCTCTCATTTACACATTAGATATATTCTGCATAAAAGAAATCGCTGTTTCTGGGAGAGCTGCGGTATTTCAAGAAAGTAAAATTTAAAATTTTGTAAAATTTAGCAACACTTTCATTTTAATATTTTTAACGAGCATATAAAAGCTCGTACTTAAACCATCCTGTAACATGCGATGCAGAGAGAATGGATTATTTTTTATTTCGTCAGAATATGTTGATAGCACACGAAAAACTTTCAGCTGCTAAGCTTGATATAATATCTGAATTTTAATTTTACTAATTTTTCATTCATTAATTCGCTGTCGCGTTATATTACGTACATCCATTTGCAAAAACAAGTAGACAGTGTGATAAAGAAAGAGGATAGGAAAGAACTCGGGTCCCTTTTTAATCCTTTTTTTAAGACTGAGAGTTGCTTCATTTAAGTTTAGGATAAAAGTTGGCTGCATTGTGTTATAGTTCAACGACGATACGATTACCTGAATTATTAGTATAAAATTAATGGATTTAGTGCTAAAACTAAATTTAGATGTTACAGTTAGAAATTTTTAATTTAAAATGTAGTTACACTTATTTGCATTAATCAGAAAATTTTTTAAACATTCTGAAGCAATTTACAAGCCACCTATTTAAATCCGATAATATGACTGTGGTACATAACTACTTACCAGCGGGTTTTTTCTCTTGGAAAGGTTCTTCAGGTTGAACGGGTTGTTCTGTTTGCGGTATGGCCTCTTGTTTCTTTTCAGCCTCTAGTTCAGGTGACTTCTCTCCATCGGCCTGTCTCCTCAGCCTCGGTGCGGCCAAAGCTCCAGCCAGCAGACCTACCAACAGGCATACGGTTAAGGATCTCATGATGATGAAGAGTATAATACTTAAGGACGGTGGTTATGGATGGACGGATCGTTTGATCGAGTCGGCTGCAGAGATGAGTGTGAGTTGAGAAGGGCTGGAGCGGTCCCTCTCATATGGCATCGCCCTCCCCCCTGCGCCCCGCCGAAAGATGGTGTCGCCACCTGTCGGCTACCGGTTTAGGACACTGCGAGCCGAGAGCGATTGGCGTGTGAAGGTATTCGCGTTCGTGACGGCATGGATAAATTAACAGTCACCCAAATCAGGAATCAGAGTCGATTGCGAAAGCGCTTCTCGATTGGATGCGGGGAATTTCTCAGTTCTCTGGGCATTCAGATGAGGGAAATATGACCATCTGGAACTTTTTTTTTTGTCTTTTTCCTTTATTTACAGTGGTTCCTAGCAAGCTGTCAACTTTTTTTTTTAGTTAGAAATATATTTCTGCATTCGCTTAAGAACTAAAAAAGGAAGGAAAAAATATTTCTCAGTAATTATTAGCCCGAAGCAAAAGCAACTATGATAAGAAGTAGAAAATCTAAAAGTTAATATCTGTATGGTTTTTTTATGAAAATAACTTTTAAGTTTTCTAAATTTGCATGATATAAAGCTGGGACTCTGAAGCGGGGGTTAAGGCGGATTTCATAGTTTCAGGAGGGAATGTGGTCAGCCTTTTATTTAGCTACTAAGTATTTAGTTTCAGTTTATAAATATTAAAAGCAGCTTTAATTCAGGTTATGGTATTTATCAATATTTCTTTTACTTTTTATTGCTAAATTTATTAAACACGCTAAAATAATTTATATCTAAATAAATATATTAAATTTCAACGAGAAGAGGCATGATCTTCTAGCAATGGTGAAAGGAGTGCAGGGAATAAAACCAATTGAGAACCATTAATGTAATGCTAATCCCTAAGCTTCTAAGGTATTCTTTACCCATTTTTAGCACATTTGTTTTCGCTTCATAAGAGACCCCAAAATGATAATAAACCTTAATGTTTGCTTCAACCGTTTTCAGCACATTTGTCCGCAATGAAGACTTCATAATGATATTAATCCATGAAGTATATTTCAACCGTATTCAGCACATCTTTTCGCTTCATGGAATATTTCAAAATGTTAACGAAGATCTGAGTATTGATATTAATCCTTAACATTTACTTCAACCGCTTTCAGCACATTTGTCCGCTTTATGGGAGACTTCAAAATGATATTATTCCCGGTTTACTTCAAGTACTTTCAGCATATGTGCTCACTTCATGAGAGATCTCAAAATGTTAGTAAATTAAAATACAAAACGTTGTGCATCTTTCTCTTATTCTTCAGCATCCTTAGCAATGGGCAATTATGTAATATCTCTAAACACTGGTAGTTTGATCCTGATTCTAACCTGGTGAAAAGCTGACTGCAAATATGATTTCGTAATTTCTTCAACAAGAATATGGGCCAGTTTCCCTTGGAAAATCTTCGACGGAAGTCTCTTAAACGAAATTGCTCTCACTTCGTCTAAAACAATCAATTAAGCAACCAATTAACAAATATCTGTTTTACAGAGGAATGAAGAATTTTTCGATTTATCAAATTTTATTTTTATGATCTATTGCAATTAGTTGTAATCTATTTTATTTTTTTAATTATATCTTCATTTTTACAACATTTTGTAAATCTACGTTAATAGTTCGTACTGAAACTCCATAAAAGTATATTTCAGTGCATCAAAAATTGCATTTATATCTTCTGTTACTTTTAGTGAATAAAGTTCATAATCTTCATAATATTTTGACAGAAAACGAGTTCTTATTCAGAAATAAATTTTTAGGAACTCATAAAAAGTTATATATAAAAATGGACACTGGAACTTTGTTATAAATTATGCAAAAGAAATATATGAAAGAAAAAAAATTAATTAAACGTATAATTAAATAATTAATGTTTAGTTTTTTTTAATTTATTATTATTATTATTCGCCGTTACTAGATAAAGGAACTGTATATAAAAAGCGGGAAATTCTAAATATTAAGATACCGAAGTGAATCCTGTTTTCAGGTGTGAAAGGAAAGAACAGTTCTTCCCTTTAAACTAAAGAAAAAAAAAATAAATAAATAAATAAAAAATAAACTGATATGGTTTGGTTTGGTTTATTTAATTATAGCAAAGCACACTAGGGCTATCTGCCTAAGGGGAGGGATGTCTTTGTGGAGGACTTTCTAAAGGAAACTGGCTCGTATACACGTTACACATGGGGAAAACCACGATAACGCCCATGCAGCCATCCCGTTCGCGGGATTCGAACCTCAGACCGAACTACCAGTGTTCAGCGACTTTACCGCTAAAAACCTGATATGACCAACACATGTGACACCAGTCATCTGTTGTTTGTCATATGCTGGTCACATCAGTTTTTTGTCATTGTTGTCATTGTTTTAAACAGCAACAAGCATTGTTGAGGTTATTTCGAAGCAGGAGATAGGAAGAATGAGCAGTGCCCTCGCCAAGACTCGAACCACGGACCTCGCGAATACTCACCGAGTGTGCTGACCATTACACCACGAAGGTATGCTAAGAAGGCGGGAAAAATACCTTAGATACTCCCCATTTTAACGAGTGACTAGGGATTAGGGGAATCCAATAGTCAAATCCTGGTGATGTCAAATCATCATCCACCACTTTTTTTAGTTCGAAGGCCACTCACTGTATTTTATTTCGGAGGCCATTAGGTATTTTTGATACGGGAAATGTGAAAAATGAGCGATGCTCTCACCGGGACTCGAACCACGGATCTCTCGAATACGCGCCGAGTGTGCTGACCACTACTCCATGAAGGCATGCTAAGAAGGCGGGAGAAATAACTTACAGCTTTTAAATAAAATTTCCATTTGATCGCTTGGGAACAAAATCTAATTTGTTTTTGCAATAAATAGAAAGGTCCATAACACGAAATGTTGCAACACATTTTATTAGGTATATAACTGGCGATATATAAAAACTGATTTTTCTAAATTTATATCATCATAATCAAATGTTCGCCCCTTTAATTTTTTTATTAAAAATTGTATTTTATGATGCAGGTGAACACATGTGATTTTTAATTAAAGAAAATTAAGGATATATGATATATTTAAAATAAATACTTTGAAACGATCATTCTATGTTATATCTATAATATCATTCTATGTTATATCTATAATATCAACAAATGTAAATCTAATTTGATCCGCCCGTATACCCCGCGATATTTTGGTATCAGTAAAAATATTTGGAATTACCTTGCTTTCTAGGATCAGGTGATAAGCGACAGGGTAAAACGAGTCCGGACACCCGGACGGCTTACATAGTCTATTCGGGTAATGTACGGAGCTCAGAGCTGTCTAGGAGAAGCAGCTCCTGATTCTCCAAGAACATCGTATCTGGAGCTCATTTACAGATGTTCAAAAGCATATAATACCAAACAAGGGCTAGATGCTAAGAAATACAAAGGAATGGTATTTGCTGAACGTAGACAGATGATACCTAAACATGACACGTTTGAAGTATGGATATTGCAGGATGAACGTATAATACAGGCTCTTATACTAACAGGTAGTACGTCACTAAGCATCAAATAAAACAACTCTAGAGGTAAATACTAAACACTGAAATATTAATACAAGCTAACACTATTACGAGTAGGACAAGAACTAATTATACAAACATTATATATATGTGATGTATTGTACGTAATGTTTTGGATACGTAACAAATACTGAAGATCCATGTTATACTAAATATATGAATTCTAAAGACACAAACTGTTACACGGAAAATACAATTTATATATGCGTACATGACATTTGTTCACGCTGTTATTCTAATACGTCAATTAAAAGAATAATATTTCCGGATTGTAGACAATGGGCCTACGCATAAGGTATTTAAAGCATAAGTACTGCGAGATGAAATATCAACACTAAAGGTAACATAAAGGACGTCACTAAAGCATATAAACAGACACATGTGCATAGCACTATTATAAGCACCGAACATACAGACCCTACACAAAAGGTATTTCAAGCATTAGTACTATGGTGAACATATACTATAAGGAATTTCTCCCGTCTTCTTAGCATGCCTTCTTCTTAGCATGTAGTCCCGTCTTCTTAGCATGTAGTGGTTAGCACGCTCGACGCGTATTCGAGAGGTCCGTGGTTCGAGTCCCGGCGAGTGCACTGCTTATTTTTCATCTCTCCTGCTTCGAAATAACCTAATATCTCTTCAGTGACGTCCGAACTAAAAGGTAGTGAATGATAAATCTTCACCAACAAGATTTGGCGATTAGGTCTCCTAAAACCCCAGTCACCCTTTAAAAGGAAGAGTATATAAGTTATTTCTCCTGCCTTCTGGTGTAGTGGTCAGCTCGCTAGACGCGTTTTCGAGAGGTCCGTGGGTCGAGTCCCGGCGAGAGGACTGTTCATTTTTCATCCCTCCTGCTTGGAAATAACCTGACGACTCTGCAATACTACAACACTAATGCTAACTTATAATGCAAAACTAAACATACACAACTGCATTATACTGTTCTAGGCACTGATACATAAAAACTCCGCTCAAGCATTTCAAGCATGTGAACCTGTGATATGAACATTTACTACTATACTGATACTAAAACATAACACAGCATTAATGCATCTGCCATACACAATTACGAATCAGTACTATATATATGAGACATTCAAATTGTAATACAAGGCTGAAGAAAATTATTGATGCATTTTAGATTGTAGATCCAAATATTTTGTTCGTTAGTTATGATACAGTTACGGCTAGAGAATATTTTATTTAAATAGGTACGTTAATTCACTGACTTATACTAATTCTTTCGTTAGGGGACGTGTTAATGCGTTAAATTGTTAAAATATCAATCTTAAATAAAAATCATTCTCTTCTATGGCTTGATATAAATAAATATCATATCTAAATACAATAGAAATAAGAGTAATATTGGCTGAGTTATTTTAGATTAAACTCTTACTATAGTGATTCTTTATTTCTCCGCGAAACCTGTTAAAAGCTCAATTATTATTATAACCGGAAGTAGTAAAATACTA